CAAGGGCAATGGCAAAACCAGCACCAAAACCGACGGTCAGATCAAGGTCGGGGAGAACTGGTATGATCTGGTTTCGAAAACCCCGGATGGTCGTGAGCTCTGCTTTGCCTTCAATATCAAGCGTGGCTGTCAGGTCAAAGGATGCAAGCGTGTGCACGCGTGCCGTGTCAAAGGCTGCCAAGGAAATCACCCGGCCTATCAGCGTGGTGCGCACGGAGGTGCCTGACATTATGCCGCGACGCCATTTTCACTTTCAAATTCAACTGATGGTCGCCGACCTACTTTGCGAGTGCTGTACCTATTTGCTGGCGAATCCCGTAAGGCAGATGTACGGCATTACCTGGGGGAGCTCTGCGATCTGGAACAGGTTGGTCTCGATCTTTCCGAAATGGACATCTGCCGAGACCCCAGCATGGACCTTTTGGATGAAGCCATCGCCAAGCGAGCTTTGCAGCAGATCCGTGATGGATCTTGGGATGTTGTGATAGTCACACCACCCTGCAACACCTTTTCTAGGTCGAAGCCTGTTAGATCACGACTTTATCCTTTGGGTTTTCCTTGGTTATCTGACAATTTGTTGGAACTTGCCAGGCAAGGAAATCAGTTCATCGATTTCTCTTTTCAGGTGTGCTTTGCCACTTTGGATGTGCGCGCCGACTTCCTGCTTGAGCATCCGGAAGACCTCGGCCGTACTCGCTCTGGTCATACACCAGCTTCAATTTGGCAGCTAGAGGGTGCTCAGCGCTTGTTCTCCCACGAGCGTGTCTTCACATTTGCTGTTTACCAGTGCAAATTCCTGGCTAAATCGCCTAAGCCAACACGCTTTAAGACAACAATCCAAGCAGCAAAGAATATGCCGTTTTCGGGTCCTCCCAAGTTCGGCGAGAATGATCGCTATGCGGGTCCGCTTCCTCAGTACTGTGGACACAAGGACCACGAGGCCTTGGTGGGCATGAGTGTCTCTGGGCAATGGAAAACTACTCCTGCGGCGGCTTATCCCCCGCTTTTGTGCAAACAAATTGCCGAGTGGGCTTTCTCCGTCTTCGATGGGGGAGGCGCTAAGCCACGTTGCATGGACACATCCGGCCAAGGGATAATTTTCCGTTTTGGAGAGCTGGCTCCGGCTCTGGAACCATGCGCTAACAATGAGCTGAGCGTCTGTCTGCAAAGGCGTTGGTGAGTGGACATGTCTCGGAGGCTCAGCTGCTGGCTCTTTCCAAACTTTTGCCTGACGAGGACAGGGTGAGAGAGTCGGAGGATTACATTCCGGGTCAGAGATCCTTCGCTACGGGTGCCTACTGCCACCACGGTAAAGCGGGGCTGAGGAAGAACGTGAGTGCCTTCCCATCCTGTTCCCAGCTGCTGTCGAGACTGATTGGGAGCCAATTTCCAGGAGAGCCATTCACTTCGTTGGCTTTTTTCCGGGATATCTGTCAGCCTCTGCGTAAGGATACAACGAATGGGAAATACGGCAATCTTTTGCTGGCCTGCTCCTCCTTTGAGGATGGTGGTTTATGGGTTGAGGATCCTGCGGGAGATGTTTGCAGACTGGTGCATGGGAGGAACATTTCTGGCCGGGTACTCTGGTCTGAAGGAAGGATCACTTTTGATCCTCACTTGTGGCATGCAACTGAGAAGTGGACTGGAACGAGACTAGTTCTGGCTGCCTATTCCATCTCCCAGGCAGATCTGCTCGGTGCCGAGGATAGGCGTAGGCTGGTCGATCTGGACTTCTCTTTGCCGGCTCCAAGAAGCGAGGGGCTGACCAAATAGATTTACCTGAGGATCAGCACGAGGTGGAGGATCTGACTCATGACCAGATAGCTTCCGGTTGTGAAGGCCCACCCATGGTGGGGGACTTTGCTGGCTCAACGGACGAGTTTGTGGATGGATTTGGTCGCTGTTCCCCGGGGCGGTGGAGGCCTTCGAATCGGGGGCGGCGTTTGTTGGCCAGGGCCCTGGATTTTGCTGGCCCTTCGGGAGAGGGTCAAGAAGTTCGTGGTGGATTCCGTTCCGGTTTTGGCCAGGGCAACTTTCAAGCTTGCTACCGGGAAGTGGAATGGACCCCTCTTCCCCCAAGAAGGTCTGGCGGCTCTGCGTGAGCAAGGGATTTGATTCCTCACCAACCCTTGTACCTGAGGGCTATGGCACAGACTTTGGAGATTCTGCAATGGCGTGGAGGTAGGCCATCTGGAACCTCTCGGACCTAACCCACAGGTCTATCGAGCACGGCGAAAAGGCCAGAAATATGATGAGTCGGACTGGGAGCCAGAGATGCGCAATTACCGCGATGGCCCGGAGGTTGAGAAGGCGTTACAAGGTGCCTTCGAGAAAGAGGAGAAGGAGGGCCGCATGTTCCCTCTATCTCTGAGTGAGGCACGAAAGCGTTATCCAGGTGGTTCTTTCAGAGTGGCGGCCCAGGCCGTTGTGCCGAAGCCTGACAATGATTTCTAAGTTGTTCACGATGGCACCCATGGAGTACAGGTCAACAATGACATAGTCATGAGAGATCGACTGGAATCTCCGGGGGCAAGAGAAGTCGCTGCCCTTCAGAAGCTGGGAATGGTTTCAGAAGAGAAGGGAGGTTTCTCCATCGCCCTGAGCATTGGGGGGTCCTTGCTTGTAAAACCCGAGCGGATTCATCTGTGGTCTGGCTGAGCCGGACTGGGACTTTCGGCATTGCCTCAGCGGCCTACTGGTTCTC